GCCAGCCTAGTTTTATTACTTGTACAGTGAGAAAGGATTATTCATATCTCTGCTTACAGATGCAGGGATATTTGCTTTCTTATGCTTGATCAACTTTTTCTTTTGTTATCCATTAATGGAAAGCAATCCTTGTTTATTAATTTTGGTAAGTTGCCATGTAATGTCTTTGGTCTGAGGAACAATGTCAATATGCACATTTGTAACTTATATATACTTTCATTGCCTTGAGTTGCTTCTCTAATAAATTGAGTTACCACGGTTTCAGTTTGCATCGGGGAGTTTGGCCGGGCCGATTAAGTATTAACAGGTGAGGCCATGTGGAAAGGGTTAATGGATCAAGTTGAGATAGTACTTCAATTGTGTAAGAACTCTCGCCATTCATCATCATAATCCCAATGAGGCAGAAGGAGTGTTTGCTGCTAACAGATGAGTTGTGGAAGTTTCTGTTTCTATCTGCTCCGGGTTTTCTTTGCTCTGTAAGGGAGTGTTGGGACGTTTGATCCTCTGTTTTTTAGTACCGACTGGGTTCTGTGGGAGAATTTCATTCCTCGAGTTTTCAGAAACAAAAATGTTTTAATGCTCACATTCATACAACTTGCAGCAATATTTGAGCATTATGTATGTTGTAGTGCATGATTGAGGAAGGGGAATCAGATATGACATATTCCCCTCAAGTTGGCGGCAGTCTGTTTCATCTTTCTTCATGTGGCTCAAGAACAAGCATTATGTGATTATTTGCTTAAGCTGACATCTCACAAGTTTCTGAGCTTGGCCAATATTATACAATAAACACAAATGAAAATATAAAAACCACCATGGCATATTACTTTTATAATAATACCTCAAAATGTGTTTCTGGTCTGATCACAACAGCAGAACAAATACACAAAACAGATACAACAGTGAATGCCCCATCTAACTGAAAATGTTCAACAGTGTCCCAGAAACGTGTAATTATTTTGAAAAATTAATAAAATCCTACATAATGATTCCAACTTTACAATTTTGTAGTGGCCGAGTCTAGTATTACTCCACTTTGCCACAAATTGCATATTTTATGTATCATCATATACATGATGAATGACCAGATAGATAGATAGATGCCTGCTGCAACTTTTGAGACCGCAGT